CTGAAACATCTTGGATTTTTCTCTTATAGCATATGAACTATTGGACTCAAAATCCGCATATAGTGTTTCCTGGTTATCTTCTTAACCTCAAATGGACAAGTGAAGCTCTAGCAGTATCAAGTTTGGTGTCTGTTTTGTGTGACTCATTTAAGCTTTCAACTAACTAAAAACGTCTTATTATATTTATAGGTATATGAAATCCTTTCAGGGATTAAGGTAGAAGGGAGACTTCCTGTTCTGAAGAAACAAGACGTACTGAAATCTCTCCCATCTGAATGGCCATTCGATCCCACAGATGACATACATAAGTTAAATATGGGAAACTCAAAGACGTTGGTCGTTCTTGATGATGATCCAACCGGAACACAAACTGTTCATGACGTAGAGGTTTTAACAGAATGGTTAGTCTTGCATGCTTCTCTATGAAACTGAATATTTCTTTCCAACACAAAACTCATCATGAATCTCACAAAGGAAGGCAAGTTTCTTGCCTAGAACCTAACTGAAGGCAATAATAATTGGTTATTATTGCTTTGCCTTAACATTTTTACAGGAGTGTGGAGTCTATTTCCGAGCAGTTCAGAAAAAAACCTGCATGCTTCTTCATATTGACAAATTCGAGGTCACTGAGCTCTGAGAAGGTCAAGACATATATCTTGTCTAGTCTATTTATTGAAGAGTTCTAATCTCTTGGAACAATGAAAAAGTTGTTGCTACATCAACTTCAGAAATTGCAAGTTCTAATTACATATTTCTTCAACAGGCTAGCGCATTGATCAAAGACATATGTTCCAACTTATGTGCTGCATCACAAGAAGCTGGAAATGCTGACTACACAATTGTTCTGCGTGGTGATTCAACATTACGTGGTCATTTTCCTCAGGCAAGTTCGGTGACCCTAGTATGAAATGGCGGACCATCATATCAGTGTTAGATTTGAACTTGCAGTTCTGTTGTATCGGTACTTGATACTATGATCCATGCAGGAAGCAGATGCTGTTGTCTCAATACTTGGGGAAATGGACGCATGGATTATTTGCCCTTTCTTCCTTCAAGGAGGACGTTATACTATTGATGATGTGCACTATGTTGCAGATTCTGATAGGTATATCTTTGTGACAACGTGTGTGTGGTTTTTTTCCCCTTCAGAGCATGAAGTTTGATAGTCTTTATCGTGAATATTGCAGGCTAGTTCCTGCAGGAGAGACAGAGTTTGCTAAAGATGCATCCTTTGGATATAAATCCTCAAATCTTCGTGAGGTCTGAAATCCTCCAACAGCAGAATCATCTTTATAATTTGACTCCGAATAAAATATTAGTAACAAACAAATTTGATATGATTCCAGTGGGTTGAGGAGAAAACAGCTGGCGCCATTCCTGCTAACAACGTTGAGTCGATCTCAATCCAGCTTCTAAGAAAAGGTGGCCCTGATGCAGTGTGTGAGTTCTTATGCAGTTTAAAGAAGGTAATATTTCCAAATTTTGCTATGGCTTTAGAATGCTGCTATCAGTCTTCAGAATTGATGGAATCAGTCAGTCAAAGTTTGGTAGAAAGTCTTAACGCTTTCCATTTCATATGTAAATCAGGGATCCGCATGTATAGTCAACGCAGCTAGTGAAAGAGACATGGCTGTATTTGCAGCGGGGATGATCCAGGTTATTATTCTTTCAAAAAAAAAAATTCTTTCTTAAGAGGATGCATTTATTTTTCTTTTATAATTGTGGTCCTTTAGTTCGATCAAACATTATGTTTCGCAGGCAGAACAGAAGGGGAAATCTTTCTTATGCCGTACCGCTGCTAGCTTTGTGTCTGCTCGAATAGGGATTATTCCAAAAGATCTTGTGTTGCCAAAAGATTTTGCATCTGACAAAGAAAGCAGTGGTGCGCTAATAGTTGTTGGCTCATATGTCCCAAAAACAACAAAGCAGGTTAACTTTCTTTACTAGCTCTAGTGTCTCCACTGTGTTAAATGAAATCACGTTAAAGAGTCCTGAGTCATTTTCTTTAAACTAACAGGTTGAAGAACTTCAATCACAACATAAGCAGAAGTTAAGGAGCATTGAGGTAAAAACAAATAGATGTGGCTAACAGGGATCCTTATATTAATATTTCGCTATGGTATCTAAGCTTTAGCCGTGATCAACAGATCTCTGTAGAGAAAGTTGCTCTCAAGTCCTCCGAAGTGAGAGATGCAGAGATCAGTAGAGCGGTTGAGATGGCCGATGCTTTCCTTCGGGCTGGCAGGGAGACACTAATTATGAGCAGTCGCGAGCTCATCACTGGGAAAAGTTGTTTCTTCATTCCCAGTCTTCATATATTTTTATTCCTTGGTATAAAGTAGGAATATCATCATTAACGGGTCTGCCATTTACTTTGACAGCATCTTCGGAGAGTCTTGATATTAATAGCAAAGTGAGCTCCGCTCTGGTTGAAGTTGTGAGCCAGATAACTACTAGACCCCGTTATATTCTTGCTAAGGTACTTTTGCTAGCCCTTGTTGCTTCTCTATCCAGCTTACCATCTCATAAACTTCCTTGCACAATCTGTCAATGCACAGTTGATGATTGCAACTGTTTTATAGTTCCATGTATTTCGAAAATTTTGACACTGTAACATCCTTGTTTAGGGTGGAATTACGTCATCAGACACAGCAACAAAAGCACTTAAAGCAAGACGTGCACTTGTGATTGGTCAAGCCCTTGCTGGTGTTCCAGTATGGAAGTTAGGTCCAGAAAGTAGACATCCCGGAGTCCCCTATATTGTTTTCCCGGGTAAATCTTAATTTGTATACAACTGAAGAAATAAGTATTCTTAATCTTAAAAACTAAACTTATTTCTCCCCTTATGTAAAGGTAATGTTGGCAGCAGCACAGCTCTTGCAGAAGTTGTGAAGTCCTGGTCAGTTGTAGCTGGACGATCAACGAAAGAGCTGCTTCTTGTGAGTATTCCACTTCTTCACTAACATCATTTTTCTCTTTCATATATTGATGTTGTGTTTCTATGTAAATAGAATGCACAAAAGGGTGGATATGCAATTGGGGCATTTAATGTGTATAATCTAGAAGGCATAGAAGCTGTTGTAGCAGCTGCGGAGGAAGAAAACAGTCCTGCCATATTGCAGGTTAGTGTTCTGACCAAAAGTAGATATCTGATACACCTAAGAGTTTCATATGAGAAATATCAGCCACTGATAGCAACCAGAGCATATCATTCTGTTCTGAATTATTTTTTAAATGCCTGTCAAAAAAAGAAAAGACAATGAAAGCTAATTTTTTTCCGTTCTTATGGCTATGCTTTTAGGTCCATCCAGGTGCCTTCAAGCAAGGAGGCATTCCATTGGTTTCATGTTGCATCTCCGCAGCTGAACAAGCCAGGGTAAGTGGGATTTGTGATTGTGCATTAGATGTTCATTTTTACATTAAGCAGTCATGTATCTTGTGTTTGCTTTGCAATCACGAGAAGAACGAAAGATCTACTATCTCCGCAATTGAAATTTCGTCTGTTTTTGCCGAAATAATATGGAAATCAAAATTGTTGTTGTTGGTGCTAAGAGCCCTATACATGCGTTTGACTCTGAACTCCCGTGATTAATATGCACAATGTGGCAGGTTCCGATATCCGTACATTTTGACCATGGAACTACAAAGCAGGAGCTACTAGAAGCTCTTGAACTCGTAAGTTTGGGATATATAACGCCTATACTCAATCACTTTGTCTTCTTGTTTTCAGTTCTATGTTGAAAATTTCATACCAATTGATCTCGTGCAGGGATTTGATTCAGTGATGGTAGATGGTTCTCATCTTTCCTTCACAGAAAATGTGTCCTACACGAAATATATATCAGAGTTGGCCCGTTCCAAAGACATTATGGTGGAAGCTGAACTAGGTAGACTCTCAGGAACAGAGGATGGCTTGACTGTTGAAGACTATGAAGCAAAGCTCACCAACGTTGACCAGGTCCTTGTTGTTTTTAAACGCGGCCGATGAATCCAATCTTTCACCTTACTATCCATGTCTGCTAAACCAAACTACAATGGGTTTTTTTCAGGCTCAGGAATTTATGGAGACTGGTATAGATGCCTTGGCTGTGTGTATAGGAAATGTCCATGGCAAATACCCAAAGTCCGGCCCAAACCTCAAGCTCGACTTACTTAAGGTTAGGCATACCCTTGTGCTGACTGAACTTCGTCAATGTGCTGAGTTTGCGTCATTCTTATTCTAAGTGTTCTCCATGTGTATAGGAGCTGCACGTTATAAGCTCGAAGAAAGGCGTCTTTCTTGTTCTCCATGGAGCTTCTGGTTTGCCTGAGTCGCTTATCAAGGTGTGAGTCTATCATTTGAAAGGTTTCTTGTTTGAGAATACAGAAAAAAGGGATAAATTCGGCGCGAAAATTTCCTCTTGTTTGATATGAAATTAACCGAATTAACGTCTGTAATGGCTATTAATTGTTGTCTGATATCATCAGGAATGCATCGAGAATGGAGTGAGGAAGTTCAACGTGAACACAGAAGTAAGAAAGGCTTACATGGATGCTCTTACATCCGGAAAGAAGACCGACCTTGTTGACGTCATGTCGGCAACTAAAGCAGCCATGAAAGCTGTGATCGCTGAGAAGATCCGTCTCTTTGGTTCCGCCGGAAAAGCTTGAGTTGTTGATGAACAAATGAACAATGTCCGATCAGCGTGTTTTACAGTTGTACATCACATATGCACATCCAAAGAATAATCAATGCATTGTATTTGTATGCAATAAAAACAAACAAAGAAAACATTTTTAGAATTGCCGAACTAATTCTTTTCTTCTGTGATATATAGGAAAATAGAAATTCTTTTATGGGAAGTTCTATAAAAATATTTTAAGTGGATAAAATCACTAATTATTCATGGCTAGCATATTCGGATATAATCTCTATCTACTACATATATAATCCTCGCAATCTTCGCCGTTTATCTCCTCGTTCCCCGATCTAAAATTAAAATCCCTAACTCTCACACACATTCTTTTCATTGGGATTCAAATTCTTCTTTTATCTTTTGAACTCCAAGTACTCTATATTAATGAACTGCTTTGTTCCTATCCATTAATGTCTACTTCTTCTACGTAATGGAGTTTCCTTCATTTCTGAATAGAACCGATAGTTTTGGATGTGGGTTCTTCATTTTTGGCTGTTCCTCTCAGATTTTCAATCTCGTCTTTCTCTTTTGCTTGCTTGTTGTAGGACTCAAGTTTCTTCTTTTCAAGGGCCCTTCGTTATTTGTGCAGTATATAGAGAAGAAATATCGAATTTCTCCCGATCGAGAACATACGGATTGCAACAATGGGTTCGTTTCAAAATCTTACTTGGTGGATGCGTTGGATCAGAAGAAACCCATCATTTTACACTGGAGTTCTGATTGTACTAATGGATTGAGCTTGAGACAGAAGATGAAAAAGAGCTGTGAGATATGTGATCATCTTCTTCTACGTGATGAGCTTGATGATCTCAGCAAGAACAGAGACACTACTGCAGCGTTATCGGAAAGAGAGCTCGAGCAGGAAAGCGAGGAGGAAGAATCACGGTCTCCGAGTGATAGTGAAGACCAGGTGTTCGACGTTATTACTCTAAAGAAAATGGTGAAGAGAGAGAGGAAACGTGGAGATTTTATGAAGATAGAGCTGGAGAAGGAGAGAAGAGCGGCTGAATCAGCTGCTGAAGAAGCCATGGCTATGCTTCTGAAGCTTCGGATGGAGAAGAGCGTGGTGGAGATGGAGGCGAAACATTACAAGAGAGTTGCAGAGCAAAAGCAAGTCTATGATCAAGAAGTGATTCAATCGTTACAGTGGATGTTGACGATGAAGCTTGATGACGAAGAGAAGATTCAAGACTAACTCTTGATCCTCTGTAAAAATAAATTAACAAAAATAAAAGATGTATCCGCTTTCTTCGGTTATGCCGAACCAGAAAATAACGGTTTGAAACTAAACCAAAAATTTAATTTTTAGACAAGTCTACTTACGTGGCAGGTGACTATTGGATGTATGACAACGATACGACGTGACAATATATTGACTGGTTTAAATGACGTTATTACCCCTTTTCATCTCATTTCTGATTTCTTTCTTTCTGAAATTCGATCTGATCACTGAGAAACCACGCCGGCGACGAAGAAGAAGGTGGAGGAGGAGGTAGAATGAGAATCTCAGGTCATGGAATCGTTATTCTCTCTCTACTAATTTTCTCTTTCATTGAGATTAGCGTTCACGCCCGTCCCGTTGTTCTCGTCCTCTCCAATGACGATCTCAATAACGGCGGCGATGATATCGGAGTGGAAGAGTCCTCTGACTTTGATGAATTCGGGGAATCCGAACCTAAGTCTGAGGAGCAGCTTGATCCGGGTTCGTGGCGACCGATCTTCGAGCCGGATGACTCAACCGTCCAAGCCGCATCGCCGCAATACTACTCCGGCCTCCACAATATTCTAGCGGCCGCGAGTGAGGGAAATTTTAGGTTGATGGAGGAAGCGGTGGAAGAGATTGAGGCGGCTTCTTCAGCTGGAGATCCGCACTCCCAGTCGTTAATGGGCTTCGTTTACGGGACAGGAATGATGCGGGAGAAGAGCAAAAGCAAGTCGTTTCTTCACCATAACTTTGCAGCTGAGGGTGGGAATATGCAGTCGAAGATGGCACTTGCGTTCACTTATCTGCGACAAGATGTAAGCAAGTTTGAACTTTTGAAGATGGAACTTATGGAAGTTTTCATTTGTTTGCTCTTTATGATTAGATGAAGTTGCATTTAGAACAACAATTATTACCTTCATTGGGCTACGTAGGTGATTTTTGATTGTTGTTCATTCAGTCTTATCTGAAAGTCTTACTCAAACAACGGGAAAAGGAATTGAGTTCACGTGAGATGATACTATTCGGCAAAAGAAGACATCTTTAGGATTTTGAGTTTCTTATCAAACGTTTCTTTGTAGCTGAGTTTGTTAGTGATTTGACCTTCTGTACAGATGCACGATAAAGCTGTCCAATTATATGCCGAACTAGCAGAGACGGCTGTGAATAGTTTTCTGATCTCAAAGGACTCGCCCGTGGTCGAACCAACTAGAATTCATAGCGGAACTGAAGAAAACAAAGGTGCTCTAAGGAAATCCCGCGGGGAGGAGGATGAGGATTTTCAAATACTGGAATATCAGGCACAGAAAGGGAATGCTGGGGCGATGTACAAAATTGGACTCTTCTACTACTTTGGTCTACGAGGATTAAGGCGTGATCACACCAAGGCATTGCACTGGTTTTCAAAGGCAGTAGAGAAAGGAGAGCCGAGGTCAATGGAACTTCTGGGGGAGATATATGCTCGAGGAGCTGGTGTTGAAAGAAATTATACCAAGGCACTTGAATGGCTTACACTTGCGGCGAAAGAAGGTCTCTATTCAGCTTTTAATGGAATTGGCTACTTGTATGTCAAAGGCTATGGAGTAGAGAAGAAAAACTACACTAAGGTATGGCTTCAAAATTCCCAGGCTTTACTCTTTATCTGACTATAGGTTTAGCCTCTTTGTTGATTTAGCAGGATAGGTGAAAATATATCATAAAGGAACTGAGACAAAAGTGGGTAAAGATTGTAAAACAAGATTAGTCTAACGTTCCATAGTTATATGGCTTTAAATGCAGGCAAGAGAATATTTTGAGAAGGCTGTTGACAATGAAGACCCCAGCGGGCATTATAACCTTGGAGTTTTGTATCTTAAAGGCATCGGAGTCAAAAGGGATGTGAGGCAGGCAACAAAATACTTCTTTGTTGCTGCAAATGCTGGTCAACCAAAGGCTTTCTATCAACTTGCCAAGATGTTCCACACTGGAGTTGGGCTTAAGAAGAACCTAGAAATGGTAATTACTTGTATTCTGAGTCTTTTTTTTCCCCACCTAATCGTGAATGCTAACTGCAATGATTCTTATTTCTTAAAACCATATTGTTTAAGGGGAATGGAACTCTTTTAAATATTTGACTGCCTAACTCTTGTAAACTTCACAAGAGTAACTGACTATAGCTGCTAATGATAACTTATTAGCCGTATCTCAGTGTTCGTATTATCGTGGTAAGGGGATGTAATTAGCTATAACGTATATCCATTACGGCATCAAAGTGCAATAAATTTGTCTCCACTAAGGCACCCCCTTTTTGTTTTTCTTAGGAACATTTCTGTGATCACTTTGGGCACATGGACTTTGTGCTTTAATTGTTTATTCACTTTCCTCGCAATGCATACAGGCCACTTCGTTTTATAAGCTAGTAGCAGAAAGGGGGCCATGGAGTTCTCTCTCTAGATGGGCTCTTGAAGCTTACTTGAAAGGTGATGTGGGTAAAGCTTTGATCTTGTACTCAAGAATGGGAGAGATGGGCTATGAAGTAGCACAAAGTAATGCTGCGTGGATCCTCGATAAATATGGCGAAAGAAGCATGTGCATGGGAATGTCTGGGTTTTGCACTGACAAGGAGAGACATGAGCGAGCACATGCTTTGTGGTGGCGTGCCTCCGAACAAGGCAATGAACATGCTGCTCTGCTTATTGGAGATGCATATTACTATGGCCGGGTTAGTTTTCCTCGTATAAGAAATTAAGTCATAAAACTAATAACGTAGAGGAGAGGTTACAATGGGTGAAGTAGATGTGAATCAGCTAGGAAAACTTTAAAGACATTTGGCCTGATTCTCTTTCTCCGCTTATTCTTTGGTCCTTAATTAGGGTACTGAGAGAGATTTTGTGCGTGCGGCGGAAGCATACATGCATGCTAAATCACAGTCAAACGCGCAAGCAATGTTCAACCTCGGTTACATGCATGAGCATGGACAAGGACTTCCATTTGATCTTCATTTAGCCAAACGTTATTATGATCAAGCCCTTGAGAGCGATGCAGCAGCGAAATTGCCAGTGACACTTGCTCTCGCTAGCTTATGGCTACGAAGAAACTATGCGGATACCTTTCTGGTAAAATCAAAAACCCGATTTCTTATCATTCTTATTTGATGCATTTTAACAGATCGAAATGAGGAAAGAGGAAGTAATTTTTTTTCTTTCTAACTGATAGGTGAGAGTTGTGGATTCGTTACCAGAAGTGTATCCAAAGGTAGAGACTTGGATTGAGAATGTGGTGTTTGAAGAAGGTAATGCGACAATACTTACACTCTTGGTCTGTCTTATTACAATTCTCTATCTGCGGGAGAGACAACGAAGACAAGTCGTTGTCGCCGATCCAGTGGCTGGTGATGTGGCACAGCCCCTCGATGCTGACGTGGCACAACACCTTGCTGCGTTTCCACGGTGATGAGACGCTCACGTCTTCTTCATTGTAATAGCAGAGCATAATCGGTTTTTGGTGTTTTATTTTTTATTATGTACAGTTTAAAGTTCTTCAAAAAATTGTGATACCGTGTATGTAGGATACGATCGGCTTCCTTTTGTAACTTTAAATTTGGTTAATATAACGTATTAGGCCACATCTATTAAGGCCAGAGAATCTCTGGACTTGAGATATGTTAAGAGTCTTTTGTTTTTGAAATTAGACTAGCGGGGGAAAGTTAGACTTGCAAATATAGATTTCACCTATTGTTTGCGTTACCTGAGTTCTTGTTACAAAAAGAAAAGTACTTTTTTAAAAAAATATCAGGTTCTTCTTCATGAAATAGTTATTAAATAAATTTATGATGTGAAAAAAGTAGAAGATATATATATATATATTATTTTTTTCTGTTAACAGATGTAATGTGGTCGATTTGTTTTTAATTCGAGTGTGAAGAAGAATTGACAAGCATTCCAAGAAGAGAATCTATCGGATTAAGGGAATCGTGGGACCACGACGGCTAAGCACATCCACAAGATCGGCGTATTACTTAGGAGTATGTTACAACTTGTTCATTAATCACTACCAAATTCTACTCCCCTTCATACTTTTTACAGCGGCTCGTGAATCCAAATTAAATGCTGCAAACCTCAATACATACATTTTTGATTTGTGGATGATGTTATATTAGAGATATCTTTTCTCGTAGGGAGAGGTTTATTTCTTGTTTTATGATTAGACAAAAGTAGATTGATTCCATTTACTGGATAATGCTGTTGACGTACTATTATTTGTGCGGTAACAACGATTAATCAGTACCACTTGATAACGAAAATGAAGAGTGGGAAAAACAAATGATGAAAGGACAGTTACATTATTTTGACCGTGAAAAGAGAAAAGCTATCACGCACTAAGTGGTCTGACAGTCTCGAGAAATGTGGTTACATTTTTCATTATTACATTCCTCATTTTACTTGACAACTTCAAAAATCCATAAAAAGCACTGAGAAGGGAGTAAGAAAGTTGAGTCAGTCTCACTCTTGCTCATTCAGAGCTCTATCAATGGCTTCAATCAGCCTCTTCCACTTTGCTTCCCTTCTTCTTCTTCTCTCTCACGCTTCAGGTTTTCTTTTCATTATTTTACATTCCTAGCTATAGACCTATACAGTTTCTGATACTTTATGGTATTTGCTATCAGTTTGGTCGACTCAATGCATATATACCTTCATAAATCTCGGTTTAGATTTTTTTTTTTTTTATAGCATTTTTGTTTTAAATTCTGAAAATATCTATCTTTGTTTAAAAAAAATAAGCACGTTTATTAGATTTATAAACAATTTAGTTAGGATCAGCTTCGGTTTATAAACATTATTAGATTTATAAACATATTAATCACATTCGGTTTGTTCATCGTTGTTTGTGACCAGCTTCGACTCTAGTGTTGTACAACAAATGCAAACACCCAGTGTGGCCCGGAATCCAACCCAGCGCCGGCCAAAACCTACTCGCCGGCGGTGGATTTAAGCTTCCGGCGAACAAAGCCTACACCATTCAACTCCCACCGCTATGGTCCGGCCGCTTCTGGGGTCGCCACGGCTGCACCTTCGACAGATCTGGCCGTGGTCGCTGCGCCACCGGCGATTGCGGCGGTTCTGTCTCCTGCAACGGAGCCGGCGGTTCACCTCCAGCTACTCTCGCCGAAATCACCCTCGGCCAAGAGCTTGACTTCTATGACGTCAGCCTCGTCGATGGGTCCGTAAATTTTCACCTCCAGCAATTCCTTTTCAACAAATTTTCTGTTTTCTAAACTATCAATCATATTTATCGATTTTTATTTGTGCGTGTGGAAATGACAGTTATAACCTGGCGATGTCGATAATGCCAGTGAAGGGTTCAGGTCAATGTAGCTACGCCGGTTGTGTAAGAGATCTAAACCGGATGTGTCCGGTTGGGTTACAAGTCCGGTCACGTAACGGGAAACGGGTAGTAGCCTGTAAAAGCGCTTGCTCTGCTTTCAACTCACCACAATACTGTTGCACCGGCTCCTTCGGTAACCCACTCTCCTGCAAGCCAACGGCTTACTCCAAAATCTTCAAGGTCGCTTGCCCTAAAGCTTACTCTTACGCTTACGATGACCCAACCAGCATCGCCACTTGTTCCAAGGCTAACTACATTCTCACCTTTTGCCCTCACCATCGCCGTTAAACTACAAACTAGAATATAAGAAAAAAATATCTATTTCTCTCTCTATGTTGGCAGCAAATCTTGTTTTATGTAATTCGGAACCTTGAGTTTCTGTCTCTCTTCCTAATTTGTAACACTCTTTTTTTTTTTTAATTTGCAAAATCCCTATATCAGTATCTATGGAACCCACTTAGTGCTCTGTCTTGTGAGTGTATAGACCTAGTACTCTAAACCCTTTTTATGTACAGTTACTAACCAAAAACTTTCATAGAAAACATTGATCTTCATGGTATAAATGGTGGGTGCAGATTTCAGAAAAATGTGGCCATAGGAGCATGATTCGTATTACAGGAGACTTCATGTTCATTTCATCTTCCATAAAGCTTAGATGCTGCTCTCTTAGAGTGTTCTCCCACGTCAATGTGTTCATGGCCCAGGGAAATGAACAACGGTTTCTTGCAATCCTAGCTAGGCTTTAATAATTGAAGTTAGTACATAACCAATGAGTCCTAATTATAATTGTTCTCCCATGATTTCACATTAGAACTGACAACATTCCGTGAATCCCAAGAATCTAAGGCTAAAAAAGAAGAGATTTCAAACAAGCAAGATCGATATCAAGATATTGAGACTACAATCACACCCAAATAAAAGATGTAGATAGTAATAAAATATAAGTTCATTTGATAAATGTAGATATTGTATCAATGTTTGACATAATATCACAACATCTTTTTATACTAATATCAAGAGACATATCTACACTAGTACAAGTTGTACTGTACAACGTGTTAAACAAAAGATCGGTTCCTTTGCCAATCTTTTATCTTCTCCATCGCATCATCCACTAATTTATGTAACAAAGACAAATTAAATGCTAGAACCATAATTCTGATGTGTCCGGTTAAGTTACAAGTCTGGTCACGTAATGTAAAACGGGTAGTAGCAAATTGTTATTCGTTGATCACAGTGTCCGCGGAGAGAAAGTTTCTAATTGTTATTCGTTGACTTCTACTATTAAAGAGAGCTCAAAAAAGCAAATTGGGAGACAAACGTGATGAGGTGAATTGATCTGAGTATTACTCCAACCCGAAATTACGTGTACCTCACGCAGTGTGGAAGTCATTACCAAAACAAGGCTGAAACAGAATTCTAGCCGCGTGGTTTGATCAGTAGAAAGGAATTGATATTTGCATAAGTTTTGATGTGAAATACAGATAAAGTTTTGGATTGAATATGTAATATACAGAATTCTTGATAGTTAAAAAACTGACCCCACTATTTATCACGCCGCGTAGAGGAGCGTGTGTACCTGACGCGTTCACCGCGTTGGATTACGACACATTTCTCAGTCACGGCTACTGCATGTATTAGTTTTCTTCCCCCAAACAAAAATATTATTCCCTCCGTTTCAGTCTCGTTCTGACATTTTTCACATTAAAAGTACAATTTTATCTCTTATTAATACATTAAATAATTTATTTTTATTTAATAAATATATTAAATTAATAGGGTTAAAACTGAAATATTGTTTAAAATTTTGCGTTGAAAATATAAAACAACACTCTTTGTGAAACAAAAATAAAACCTTAAAACAACATTCTTTGTAAAACGGAGAGAGTAGTATTATCGTTACTTTTTTTGTTCAAGTTGTAGTACAGTAGTAGTATCCTATTATAGTTAAAGACTTAATCAGCTGATGAATTAGATAAAAGACTAGTCTGTTTAAGAATGTAAATTCAATAATGAAAGGGACGCAAAGATTATAATAAGTTAATAATTACTGGGGTTTTGCCTTTTTGGGAGGTTGTCTCTAGTTGAACTTTGATTCTTAAGCAAATGAAAATCTCATGAAGGCAGGAGGCTTGGTCGCTTCTTCTTTAAACCATGTAATACGTGGAAAGGTTAAGATTTATCATCATTATATTTAACAAAAACAACAACATATAAAATTATAAACACTAAGAATCTAAGATTAAATTCACAAAAGCCAAATTTAAACTATGAAAGGAGATTAAATTCTCGGTTTACAAAATCCGTGCCTAGTTAATGGATATACACATATGCGTTGGGCCGTTGAGAAGCCGATTATTATTTAACAAAAAAGTCTTTGTCTATAAAAAGGTCAACAAAACTCAACAGCCTACTACATCCCCACAAGTCCAACCAATTTGCACCTAAAACCCAAATTTCTCTCTCTCTCTAGCTTTACCATTTTCTTCTACTAACCGAAAATAATGGCCGAAACCGCCAAATCCACGCCTGCATCGGTGGACATGGCTAATCCGGAGGAGCTTAAGAAGGTTTTCGACCAGTTTGATTCCAACGGCGATGGCAAGATCTCTGTAGCTGAGCTCGGCGGCGTCTTTAAGGCCATGGGCACTTCGTACACGGAGACTGAACTCAACCGCGTCCTGGAGGACGTCGATACAGATCGCGACGGCTTCATCAACGTCGACGAGTTCTCAGCTCTCTGCCGCTCGTCTTCCTCCGCATCCGAGATCCGCGACGCCTTCGATCTCTACGATCAGGACAAAAACGGCCTCATCTCCGCCTCTGAGCTTCACCAGGTCCTTAACCGCCTCGGGATGTCCTGCTCCCTCGAAGACTGCTCTCGGATGATCGGACCCGTCGACGCTGACGGCGACGGAAATGTCAATTTCGAAGAGTTTCAGAAGATGATGACGTCATCCTCCCTCATCAACAGCAACGGATCCGCGAACGGAGCTTCGGCTTAGGGGTAATTTAGGTTTGTTCGATTTCCGTATCCATGGATAATTCTCTGGATATATCCATGGGGGAATAATCACTATCCATCCTTAGCTACTTTTTTAAATTGTGATCAGTCTAACTTCGATCCATCTTCTTTTTTTCATATCATACATAGATGATTGCAAATGATTCATCAGATCTGCGTATGGAATTATATATATGTCGCTGCTTTGTTCATACGGAATTTACTTTTCTAATGCCTTCTTCTGCAATCTGCATTCTCGTAATTACTGTACTAGTTGTAATTTTGAATCAGTTTCAAATTAATTTGGCATACAAAGGGAATTAGATTCTGCGTCTGGAAGAATAGAACAAACACTCGTTTCTTCTCAGAGAAATAGTTACATGACAACTTTTAACACTTGATTTTGGGTACTAAAAACGCTTTCGATTCATAGTTCATAGTTGTATGACAACATTTTGAATTTAGGTTTTCATGACTTATTTTATTTTTGTTTGGTTTCAATGAATTCATAATATAGGAATGCTAATGAATGCTGGAATTAAAGGGGTTCGATCGAGGCGCAATTTTTTACTCGTTTTCTGAATGGCTACTCCTTATTCTGGCCCATTTTCCGACGTAATTTATAAACTTAAGTGATATTCCATCTGTTTCACTATACTCTTTCTTTCTGTTTCATTATAGTTAATTTTCTGAATATTTACATTCTGTTTCATTATAGTTAATTTTCTAAATATTTACACACAGATTAAGAAAGCTATATATACTCAATTATTTACAGTTTATTTTTGTTAATTAAGTTATTTTTACAACTGATTTCATTATTTTTATTATTACTTTTTCTTTTCTATCTGTGCATTAATGAAGTAAAACAACATGTTAATATTATTCATTCAATTTAAAGAAGAAACATGCATTAATTAGATATAAGAAATCAAATATTATGAAACAAGAAAAAAAACCTAGAAAATCAACTATAATGAAACAGAGAGAGTAGTTGATTTTTTATGTTTTTTTTTCTTGTTTCGTAATATTTGATTTCCTACATCTAATTAATGCATGCCTCTTCTTTAAATTGAATGAATAATATTAATGCATGTTGCTTTACTCCATTAACGCACAGTTAAAAAAGAAAAAGTAATAATAAAAATAATGAAATCAATTGTAAAAGTAACTTAATTAACAAAAATAAACATTAAATAATTGAGCATTTATAGCTTTCTTAATCTATGTATAAATATTCAGAAAATCAACTATAATGAAACAGAGGGAATACTTAATAGAGTAAGTAGTAGTAGTACTTACTTAATCTAAACAAGGAAATGTGATTAAATAAGCAACTAATCCTCGAGAAAGAGAATCTAGTTGGCAAAAAAAGAAGAAAAATCAAGGCTAGTAAAGATGGAATCCTATGGTTTGCTTATGAAAACAAACAAACAAAAAGACGTCGGCGTCTGCGAATCGTATTCCAATTTCCACTACTACTTTCCGTTCGGTAAGGAAAAAATGGACCTCGACTCGTTTGTGAAAACCTTCGGCCTCTTTAAGCCCATATTAGGCCCAAATAGACATCTTTTGTATCACAAGTCAAACCTAACGCCGACTGAGTTTGGCAAAATGTCATAACTCAAAACGTACAAAGAAACAAGCATGATTGAGCTTTATGACTTGAGAACCTAAATAAATCTAACACGATCAAAACTTTCACAACCTCATCCTTTTTTTCCACCTATTAACACAAGCTATAAGATAAATAAAAGGCACAAATAAATAAACGTAGTCGACAAAAATATTTATAACAAAATTCTTGGATTGTATTATGTACAATCTCTTTCACGCCACTTTTATCCTTGTATACTACTTTTCTCAAAATTTTATTTTGTCCTCATTTATATATATTTGTCGCAATCATATGACACTGATATGTATAAATATTAACAGCAAACATAGCCCATATATATACTACGTAATTGGAAAGACTTTATTGAAACCCTTTCTCCTTTCATCATCGATCGACGATTTTCTTCATTTTTCTTTGATTTACTTACAAAAACCCAAATCAACCCGGAACACTATATAACATGGCGGAGGAATCGTACGACGAAGATTGTGACTATCTCTTCAAGGCGGTGTTGATAGGAGACTCGGCCGTCGGAAAATCAAACCTGTTGTCGAGGTTCTCGAGAGATGAGTTCCGGTTAGACTCTAAACCGACCATCGGAGTAGACTTTGCTTACCGGAATGTTCGCGTCGGTGATAAGACCATCAAAGCTCAGATATGGGACACTGCCGGCCAAGAAAGGTACCAAAATTCAACCTCGGTGATGTCTACATATAAATAGTATGAAGACACGATGCTATAATGGAATTGATGATCAATATATAATCAAAATTTCTGTTTTTTAACGTAAGACTCTATATATCACTGAATCAAGATTTGATGATGAAATAATTATTTTTTCCTTATATAATCTCTAGTGTATACTCTAAAACTAACAAACAAGATGTCAATTTTTTGGTTAAATTCTCGTCTTCTATTCGTCTTAGGTAAATATGTGGAAAAAAAAACATTAGAAAACAATCATAGAATCATTAAACAAATCTATAGGATTGGGATAATGATTAGGAAAAGAGATCACGCGCAGAAGAAAAAAAATGAAAATCTAGATAAGCAATCAATGTCACGCGGACCTAATCTTAGTTATCTGTCGCGACCTTTTTTTCATATTTTGTTAGTGTTAAAAGAATTCTGTTTATGTCGACCATTTCTTTTCTTGTTTTTAGAATTGAGATATATTATTTCACAAGCTACCTTTTTTTTTAAAAAAAAAGAAAAATTATCTTAATCATTGTATTTGTTTGGGAAAACAAGATTTAGAGCGATAACGAGTTCGTATTACCGTGGAGCTTTAGGAGCTTTACTGATTTACGACATCACAAGACGACAAACTTTCCAAAACATACGAAAATGGTTGTCGGAGCTCAGAGACTGCTCTAGTTCCGACACCGTCGTTGTTCTCGTCGGTAACAAATCCGATCTCCGGCAGTCTAGAGAAGTTGAAGAGGAAGAGGGTAAGACTCTAGCCGAACTAGAAGGTCTCTATTTCCTCGAAACATCAGCTTTAGAGAATCAAAATGTCGAAGAAGCGTTTCTAAGCATGATCGGACGGATCCATGAGGTTTTGCTCCACAAGATCGCTTTAGACAACAAATGCAACGGTGGTGACGGTAATATCATTCCCGCCGGTAAAGAGATCGTAAATATTGACGAAGTTACCGCCACTCGACCGTTGACTACTTCTTTCTCTAATTGTTGTTACAAGTAAAGTAATTCAATTTTGTTGTCTAGTATAGTATTAAATCTCTCTTTTGTTTTTGTATAGGTTTTGGATATTTGATGATGTAATTTTATAATTGTTGAAATGTTGACTTGGCTGCTTTTATATTTTTTTCATTATTCACGTTTAGTTAATTACATTTAAGATTTAACAAACGACAAAGACAAATGAATTGTAAACCGGGTCGGTTTGATTAGTGTGGAGTCTTTTTACTAACTAATTACGTCACCGACTCGTCACTGTAACATTACACCCTCCAATTCATCTTCTTCTTCTTCAGCGTTTTCTCTGATGGCAATGTAATTCAGGATCACTTTTGGTGATTAAACGGTGACGTTTGGGTCCTTAATTTCCTCTCTATCTAAAGAACAGTGAAGAAAATGGCGAATTGGATCTCGTCGAAGCTCAAAGCCGCCGAAACGATTCTTCAACAGGTGAGATGTCGAATCTCATTACTTTTTTGTGTTTGTTTGCATAGTAAATGGAAGAAAATTTCATTGGATTTATCCGATTTGGAAGTCGTTGGGTTCTATTTGAATTTCGATCACCATGTTTTGGACTCTCTATTCTTCCGTTGATTTGAAATCTCTTCCTAGATTGATGTTTTGGTTTCCTGGAAAATGCGAAATGTTTCTCTATTAGAAGTAAAAAAAAAAAATTCTTCCTGGATTAGGATCTTCATCTCAAATGGACGCGATCCAGGGTTGGACTAATGTTAAATCAATTGGCAATGTTGTTTGTTATACTATCTGGTAATTGAAATGTCTCCATAACCATTCGCCAGTTTCTGCGTCTGCTCTTCCAGAGTCTTGCGTTCTTGTCGAATTTTGTAGTTGAATCTAATTTTTCTTGATCTCGTAGTTCAAAGTTTATGTTTTCACTTGGTTCTTATATACGATCTCAGTTGAGTTAGATAACTTAGATTACACACTAATCGAGTTTATATGCTCCAAGTTACTTTCTTAAGTCATAAAACTTCATCGATTTAAAGTTAACTTGGCTAGTATAAAATAATTTATGCTAACTTGGGATTATGTGAACGGTGTTTTTCTTCAGATTGATCAGCAGGCGGCAGAGTCTCTTCGAAAGGTTGAGAAGTCTGATACCCATGACGAGGTGTTTGAGCCCTCTTCAAAATCTGGAAGTCCTGTTTCTTTGAAAGATCAGTTGAAGAAGAAAACATATGAAGGTAGTGATTATGGTAGTGGTTCTCAGAGAAACTCAACAGAGCAAATACCTAGCTACTTAAGTAGCAGTAAAAATCTACGTAAACCAGATCAAACCCAAGATAGGACAAGTTCACCGTCACAAAGTTTGACACAAGAAAAAACTCCACTCACTGACAATGACTGGACGGAACTTCTGAGTAGTCCAAATCAGGGGACCAGCACTTCAAAGCCTCGTACTTTCAGTGGAACATCTGTGAGTCGGGGATCGAAGAAATATGGAAAAAGGCATGGGAGTTTGGGGAGAAATCCTTTGGTATCTGATCGAAACATGAGTGGTAATGTGGTTGATTCCAGAGGGAGGCCACGACAACAGCCGAATAAGGAACAAAGCGACAAGGAAGTGTCTAGCCCTTCTGATGCTGACATGGAAAATAAGAATGCTTCTCAGGATATATTTGTGAAGTCAACTCAGAAAGAGAGTGAGAAAGGTGTCAACGCTGCGCCACCGCCCTTGGATGACTCCACAAGATCTACTAGTGAGACTCTCAATAGGGAAAGATTATCGCATGTAGGAAAAAAAGATGGTCGTGAGCCCAAAAGAAGTGCTGTATGGGAAAAGCAGGTGAAAGGAGAAGTCTCGCGGAGCAATGTTTCTGATGGTCTAAAGAGGAAGGATTCTTCTTTGTCAAGTGATGAATCTGAATCAGATTATGAGTCTGATTCAAGCACTGACTCTGAGAGGGAGCGTCAGAGGGATGAGCGTAGGAGGAGAAGAGAGAAAATTTTTGCTGAAAAAGTTGCAACAAAAGCTGTAGAGGTCATCAAAGAGCGAGAGAATATGGTAGCAAGACTTGAGGGTGAAAAACAGAGTTTAGAGAAAATAGTCGAGGAACGAGCTAAACAACAGGCACAAGAGGTAGCAAAATTAAGATTGCTGTTGAACTTTGTTGTGAGAAAATGCAAGCAAGTGTATTACTTGATAAATGGCATGCTCATTATGATTTGATATTTCTATTATTCGAGCAAGATGAACTATATATGCTGTGTTTGTCCTTTTTTTTTTGTTAGGCTGCGGAGTTGCAAACAAACATGATGGAAACTCTGGAAGCTGCTGACCTTGAAAAACAGAAGCATAACAATACTAGAATGGAAGTTCTCTCACGCTTGGCAGGATTAGAGGTAACTACAGAATGCAGTTTGAAATTGATCTTAGTGTTGTTACTTTATAGGTGGAGCAAGATGATTTGATATTCTGATTTAAAATATGGAATGTTTTAGGCCGCAAACGCTGAACTTACAAGATCGCTCGCTGCTGGGCAGAAGAAGCTTGAGACTCAGGTATATAGATTACTTTATTTAATTATAATTAGCTGGAACTGAAGAAGAATAAAGGTAAAAAGGTTCATGATCGTTGTTACTGAAAAAAGTAGTTCGTCTGATGCAAAGGAAGCTTAAATGAAGGTGTTAGAACCAATGTCTATATCTGCATTTGTTTACTAATCTCTTTCGTTTCTGATGTGATCAGATAGATCAGGTAGCAGTACTCCGAGAACAAGTTGAGCTTAAAGAGTCTGCTCTTGAAGGTATAGGTTCTTTCTTTGTAAAATCTAAAAGCTACTGAAATTAAAGACATTTTTCTCTTATAGAAAGCTTGTTCGACTCCAAATAACTCTGTTTTACTGCTCGTAGTTATTTGGAACAAATCATTTTTTTTCTAAAGAAGTATTTGCCATGTAGGACTGAAGCGAAAAACTTCTAATATCCGGGGAAGCGGAAATCTTGTAAATAAGGTGCCTTGAGTCGTCCTCTGTTTTTCCTTTATAGTTATTTTTCAGTTTCAGCATGGACATCTTTCTATATTTGGTCTGAGAATCATACTGCTAACATGTGGGTTATGTAGTTAGATGCTTCTAGAGGACACATATTCGAACACCAGATGCTTGAAGCAGAGATTTCTTTGCTGACTGATAAAATCGGGCGGTTACAAGATAAGGTTAGCTACCACAGTTTCCTGGTTGACTTATATACATGTGGTAGAGCTTTTTGGCTGCTTTTTTCTTCATCCGAGGCAGAGTCTTTCGTTATTTTTTCTTTGTTTGATTATGATTCCTTGTCAAAATTCACAGGCATATAAACTGGAAGCAGACATCAATACGATGAGGAAAGAACTCGAAGAACCAACTGAAGTGGAAATTGAACTGAAACGAAGACTTGACCAGCTAACTGACCATCTTATTCAAAAACAATCCCAGGTATATCAACACTTTAAATAGTGTAAAGAGAATCCAGACAAAACTAGTATTAAAAAAAACTTCCTGACTCGCTTGCCAAATTTTCCAGGTCGAAGCGCTTTCCTCAGAGAAAGCAACTCTCTCGTTTAGAATCGAGGTACATTGATGAATCCCACCAATCTGCTACCAAAAAAAAATAAAAAAATGTTCTTCACATACACACACAACCCAATTTTGATTCTTTGCCAGGCCGTATCAAGGCTTATAGAAGAAGAAAACAAAGGTATGTCCGCAGCCGAAGCCTCGTCCCAAGATCTTGAAGCAGGAGAGTGGGAACTCTCTGGATCAAAGTTTAAACCAGTTTTCCAAGATAAACTCCGGTCAGGCAAGAAACATTTAGGATGGTTAGTAATGCAGCTAAACGCTATTTTCGTCTCGGGGACCGTATTCTTACGTAGAAACCCGACCGCCAAGATCTGGGCTTTGGTCTATCTGGTTTGCCTTCATCTCTGGGTACTATACATCTTACTCTCTCACTCCAATGCTGCTTATTCAAGTGAACTCAAATCAGGTGCAGTGATTTCCTTAGAGAATTTCAGTAATAGTTCCCTTCAATAGCTTTTTTCCTTAAGAGTAACGACGTTCAAAGAGATTACGTTTTTCTTGAATCATTTGTAATTTTTCCTTCCAACATTATTTTGAAGCTTGATTTGAATCTTAGTGTATACTCAATCAAAGTATCAATCACTTTTCACAATTCTTCAAAGACAATGAGAATCTATACAAGAAGAGAGTTTGAACATGAAAGAACTCAGGAGATGGGGTTCGCCAAAAACTGTAACCATCTCTTTCACGCACACACATTCTCTATCAGTCAATACTTTTCCGGTTCTTCTTCTTTGACTTTACTCTATCCCTTGCGCGTAAAAAAATAAAAATGCGAAAAGCTCATAAGCTCATAACACAAACCTTGTAGGGTTAAAAAGAAATGCAAACCAACAAAAGGATGGATATATTCATATTCAGTAGACTCACCAGACTGTAGTTTCTTGAGGGAGATTCCGGCTGTACAAAGGAAACTCAAAGAAAAAGACTGTTTTGCACCATTTTGGTAAGTACCCATACACTCCTCGCGGCAGCAGAATCAGGGGACTGTAAAACCAATATCCAAAGATTCAATTAGAAAGACGAAACACTTAGCTCTTACTACACATATCGAGGGCCAACAACGGCGTTATAAAGAGCGCTCATATGATACCTGGTTGTCTTCTTATAGTGTCTATAAGCTCCCAAGTTACCGTATTTTTGGTCTGCCGATGCCTGCATAAGTTATACACAATAAGAATATTGACTTATTCACAAAGTGTTAAAGTGGAAAGAGAGAGAGAGGAGGGAACCTCGAGTAATGGTATGCCGCTAACGAAGAAAAGCAGCAAAGTGAGAAACACTGGTCCAAATATGACAAGGTACTCTGCACCTTTTAGAACAGGCAATGAAGCCACATATACGCCCCACCAGAGTAACATCTGAAATTCATAATCACCAAATCAACGGTTTTTTGGAGTTTCTTCCAATTCATACAAGACAGATATTTGAACTTATTAAAGTCTCTATCCGCAGTACTAACCTCACCAAAGTAGTTTGGATGGCGTGAATACTTCCACACTCCAACATCGCACCATTTTCCTTTATTTTCTTGACAGTTCTTAAATGAAAGCTTTTGTTGATCAGCTGTAGCTTCAATCAAGAACCCTGCAACCCACATTGTCCAACCTATAACATCTGCGGGCTGAAACAATCTTCCACCGTTGCTTGCATTGACAAATGTAACAGGTAAACTAACTGTCCAAACCCACACGGCCTGGCAAGGTAAAAAAGAACCAACAAACCCCGTTAGATCACAAGCATCCGACTTCTTCTCTATCTTTCAAAGATGAAGAAAAACAAAAGCTTGGAGCTAACCTGAAAAGTCCAAAAGACTACTAGTTTCCCCATATTTCCACGCATTTCATCAAAGCGTCGATCTTCACCCCAGTTCAAGATCCTACTCACAGTTAGGATGTCAGAGATACACCAGACATGACATGACTAGAAAACTTCATTAACTGTCTTGTATATCTATCCGTCTCTCACGCAATGTTTGTAGATGCATATCGATATTAGCGCGTACATATCATATAATTTGGTAAAAGAAAACTAACTAGCTAATGAATAATGGTGCAGACTGCAGAGCATACATGATTAGCAAATGATTGGTCATCAAGTAAGGGCACAAACCTCATTAGGAGGAACATTCCCAGACGAAGTCCCCATACGACTACTAGCGAAGTCAAGACTATCTGGGAGATAAAAAAAAAGGATTGAGTCGATTACACAGAATCAAGCAGAAGAAGGCAATGCAAAACAACGACATTCTAGAAAAAATGAACTCATTAGCTGAGAGAGGTGTTGTGAGAAGCAGAAAAAACAAGAGAAAAGAAAGTAGTTTAACCTGACGAAAATGCCATGTCCCTTTGAGAACCAGAGTCAATACAGCAAGTATCACGAAATTGGTACTTCCTGAAGTCAGTTTTGAGTCATATATACGTTAACATAAGTCGTCGAAATGAAAAACTCTACACATTCGTAATCACAATCGAAGAGGATCAATGGGAAGAAGAAGAAGAAATGAGAATTGTTTATTCCAAACGAATTTAAGGAGCGGAACACACACGCAATTTAGATCATCGTACCGGCAAAGTCCGTAACTTTATCAAATTTGAAAAGAGCTGTGATTACGAAGAATGTGAATTGATAACCCACCTGCAAAAGAAAACCGCGAAATGAGGAAAGACCCAGCTCGTGATTTCCCGAGGAACGAAACAGAGAAAACCAAAAGCAGAGACTTACGGTGACAATGGCGGTGATTGCCAGGTAATGGGAATCGATTACCTTTACCATTTTCTCCGACCAAGGCAAATTACCAATATATTTTCCAAAGCAAAACCTTTTTTGTTTTTGTTTTTTTTCTTTTCGCCGGAAAAACTCGCTCAATTGAAGAGAAGCGGCGATTCCTATTCTGTTTTTTTTTTTTTTTTTCAGGGGAAAAAAAGGAAGTCGTAGTTAAGATATCACAAAAGTCGCCGTCTTTGGAAATGTGATTGGTGAGACTCCGATGAATATTTATGTGGTTGTGTTGTGAAGCAATATATACACCGTTTGTTTTTTTTTTAATTAATACAACGCGCAAAGCGACTTATTCCATTATTTTTTTTTTGTCAACGACTTGCTTATTCCATGATTTAAAATCAAATTTAACGACACAAAAAAATCAAATTTAATTCCTATGTGTTTATTAAAACAATTGCTTATATGAAAGCTTCATAGTTTTTTTTATTATTTATCAGAAATTGATGTATGTATATGGATTATATGAAAGCTTTCTGTGCGAAATTGAATGGATTTGTCAGGAATTAGAGATTTCGTCAAGAGATCCTTTGTACATCTATATATATTATATAAAAAAGTTTTGTAACTTGTACTACTTTACACTATTCCCTCCATAATCTCTCATTAGGGACCAAATCCTCTAGAAACTCTGATTTGACAACAGACCAAAGCCTCTAGAAACTCAAGTCAAGCAGGAGCAATTGAGACTCTATCAATCTCAACTATATACTCCAGCGAAGCAGAAGGCGGGATCTGCAATCCCGATTCCAGTTCAGCACCGTCTTCTCCAAATCCTAAAGATGGTGGAACAATCACTCTTCTTTTACCTCCAGCCTTCATCGACCTCAGAACATAGTCTATGCCTTGACATAATCCTTTGCTATTATATGGTTTTGAACCCAACACAAGGGCTAACGGCTTCTTCTTGCCTTCGTTTCCAAATGTGTCCACGAACACTTGTCCGGTTCCTTGCACTTGCCCCTTTAGATTAATCACTACCAAGTCTCCTGGTCTCGGTGTTGCTCCTCCTCCAAGCCGCAGATCATAGTACCTGCACGATTTTGATTCCAAAGAACAACAATAAAGACCAAGACTTGATGTCTGTTTTGTGATGAATGGCTGATATTCTTCAGTATACAAGGAGAGGCTTAAGCTAGGGTTGCTACACCAATAGCTTCAATGGCTCAAAATTGGCTATGCTCGCTAAAAAGGGGACAAGGCAAATTGTACCTAATGCCGTTGGGCAAGACAATCTCTTTCTCTTCTTCTACGTCTCTGCAAACCCACCAAAAATAAACAAGTTCCAAAGCCTGTGAGAGTGACAACAACTCAAGTAACCTTAACATTCTTGAATTGTCAAATGCCTAAAACGAATTTAAGAGTCTCTGTTCAAAAGTTGAGAATTTCTCTAAAATACGCAATCTCAAAATTGTGTTTGAAGCTATGGAGAAGTGAAATTCGAAACTAGAGTGTTGAAACCAACTTTGTGTTAGCTTCTTCCTGAGAAACCTCAATCCGTGTCTTGATCTGCTCTGAGATTACACCGAAAGCCAGAAACCCCGCCCAGGCAAGACCGGCGCCGATTCCGAACCGCCGTGTCAACGAAGAAGCGACCCAATCCGTCGTCTCGACGCTCTTCTTCCTCTTCTGCTGCGATGCGACCGGCTGCTCCTTCGAGGCCGCGCTTATCGATTGAGACGGAGGAAAAGGAGACTCTGACTGTGGTGGAGGGTTCTGCTCCGGCGGCGGATTGGAAGAAGAGGCGTAACACTGGTGGTACGGTGCTGTTTTGGAGAACGGCTGCGAGAGGAAAGGAGCTGTAACAGTGAATAGATTCGCCATTTTCGAGAAACTTTCAGCTGTTAAAGTGTTTATAAACGCTTATCTAGTTCGTGTGATGTATCTTCAAGGCACAAGACGAACAAAATTATCCATTTTGCTCTTGTCAATAACGAAAAGAATCAAAACTATTCTATTTTGCAACATAAAAAAATAACAATTTGGGGTTTATAGGACAGATATATTTTAGATGTCAAGAAAAAACAGAACAGTGAAGTATCTTGTAAAGTGTAAGCCATGGTAATGGTTCTTTTGTTCCTAAGAACGTAAATGATCAATTCTTTTGAATTTTGTATATCAGAGAAATGATTCTCAATGTTTTACCATTGACAAAATAATTTTCTTTTTCCTCACATTTTTTTTCTTTTTTTGAATTCATTTTTTTTTTTACAGTTTGTAAGCAAAAACATGAGGGAAATTACACATGAACAGCACACCACAACAAAACATGCAAAGAATAATCCCACCATATAGTCGTCTTCTTCAACTCTATTATTGTTCCTGCTCAGTGATCAATGAAGAAGAACTGGGAACTGCTCTCTGAATGTTTGGACTCATTATAGGTTTCTGTATCTGCTTTAGAGAAGCCATGATCTCTGCAAAACTTGGTCTTAACCTTGGATCCCTTACAAAAATCAAATAAAATAACCATTTGATTCATTAAGAAAGAAAGCAAAGTGTGATATCTTCAATTTAGAATCAACGTTCTTTAACACTTACGTCTGCCAACATTTCCTGATGATATCTGCAATTCCAGGATCCACAAAATCAGGGATTTCAAGCCGTCGATGTTGAAACCCAACCGCGCCAACAACTTGCATTGGGTTCATCTTTCCCCATGGTTGCTGTAACGTAAAGAGTTCCCACAGAATCACTCCATAGCTGTACACATCACACCTGTTTTTCACATTATGGATCTGGTTCTTAAAACGGAACATCACATGAGAAATGATAACCAGTATCATGTTTATTTGGGTCAAGAGCTTTGATTGAAAAGAAAAAAAAAACCGTACTTTTCATCCGCGGGTTCGTTTCTAAGCACTTCTGGAGCCATCCATTCAGCCTGCAATTAGCAAACACTAAATCAAACCTAGCTTAGATCAATGAAAAGACATCAGGCTGTTCAAGATTAAACCACAAGAGAAAAAGAAAAATCTGTTCCTCGGTTTGATGAACTAGTGAATTTCTTTTAGCAGCTTACCGTGCCTGCTGTTGACTTTGACGAGAGGTATGTACTTAGTTTCATTCTAGACAACCCGAAATCGCACACCTGAGAAATATGCAAGCCATTTGAGATATGATCACATAATAACATAATCTTTGGTCGGAGAGGAATAGAATTGGAGTGGAAGAATTACTGACCTTGACAACCCAGTTTTTGTCAACTAGAAGGTTTGGAGATTTAAGATCACGATGGACAATTACCGGATTACAGCTGTGTAAATAATTCATTCCACGAGCCTACAAAGGTTGGAAATTTTCTATAAGAAACAATCAAATAGATACAAATTGGCGGTAGAGGTAAAAGGAGTGGAAGAGAAATGAGTAATAATACAGCATCAAGAGCCATCCTCAGACGCTTTCGCTCATCTAATTGGTTATTAGACCTGTGGATTAACCTATACAAGCTACCTCTGCACAAGCAAATTTTTATTTTTTTTCAAATTTGGGAAAAGCTGTAAAGTAAAGATCCAAGGAAAGTACACACTGAAAAAAGACTGAAGAGTTTGCCCTCTGCTCACCAATGGATGGGACAGGGAAAGTTATCATTAAAGATATGCCATTCATATAGCGTGAAAGCAATTTAATCATGAAGGATCATAGCAATACCTAGGAAGAAATTCTGTAACAATTGAGAGGTTTGGTGGGCGGGTTACAGCTCCCATAAAGAGAACAATGTTAGGATGTCTGAGCCTTCTCATCATCCGGACCTTGCATCGAATTGAATGCATAGAACAATGCAATGTTACAAATCTGTCACTTAGCGGTTAAAGTTTGAAACTTGTAAGGGTACCAGAGTTTCCAGAGAAGTAAGGCTTGTACCTCACTTCTGAATTCCTCCAGTGCCTCTCCGGTAATATCTTGGTCAATGAACTTCTTGACAGCCACTGCCTACCAAATCAAGAGTTTCTTCGTTATTGAAATAATAAGGAAATTTAGCCGTCAGCCAATTAGTAAGCTTAAACTTATGAACAGAGTTACATTGCTACTGTATTAAGCGAAACAAATGAGAGATACTCACAGTTCCATGCCAATCTCCCCTATACACCTCTCCGTATGATCCTGGATAAAGAAAGGTAAATCTAAAATAGTTATTCGTTGTAGCACTAGGTACACTAAAACGTATAGTAGAGCATAAGTCAGTACCCAGTCCGATACGCTCCGCCACAGTAATTTCCTCCCACAAAATCTCGCATTCAGCCACATCATCGATTGCAGCATCAGATTTTGAACTTTCATTGCCAGTCGATCTGTCGGATATTCTTTCTCCTCCTGAATTTGGACCGTGAAGCCCACCAGAACCAGCATCCCCATTGCTATTTGAATCTAGTTCAAGCTGCCTGCTCACTGCTGCAGCTGTCGCCACAACTGCAGCAGCAGCTGCAGCAGAAAGTTCTAAGGTGGAGGTTTCCGAGTTTGCTGACTTGGCGGCAGCAACAACCATGGAAGATGCAACAACAGCCGCTGCTGCTACCGCAGCAGGAACATTCCTGGGATAATCAGTAGATGTTTCAGAATGCGATGAATCAGATAAATGACCAGGTCCTGAATGTTCACGTAGGTCATGAGTACTATTTGCTTTAGCTTGCGGTCTTGGGAGTGGAGGCAAAAACCTCACAGGACCAAGATTACTCTGGTTTCTTCCTTGTTGAATTGTTCCAAAATCTTTCCCTTTCTCCTCACTGGATTCAGCCACAGATTTAATATCAACTGTTGCCTCCATTGACTCTGAATAAACTTCCGAGAATAAATTTCGAGGTGCAACAACTCCACTTTCAAGTAACACATCATGAAGCTTCTGAGCTAGTTGTGGATTCTCTTTGGCAGCATCGATCATATATTGTGAAACATCTTTGACTTTCATCCTGCGTCCAGCTGGAGAGCTAACACCTTCAGTCCAAGAGGGTGATCTGGCATGGGTAAAGGGATAAGTGGGCTTGCTAGAAAGTTGTTGAAATGGAGCCTTTTGACTCCCCACAACTTCCCTAAAAATATTTGGACGAATCATGAGATCCCCTCCACCTTCAGATTGCTTTTCCTCCCGGGAACCCTTGGTCCTAGAGCGATGTTCCGCTGACCAAGATTCTGGGTTCTCTTCAAATGAGCTCTCGACCCCACTGCTGGAAGAGGCTACACGAGATGAATCAACGTCTCTAGGACTAGCAGAGTAGACAGAATCATCATAGTCCATTTGTAGTCCAGCTGCATCAGCGGGGATAAGCGTGCCTGGATCTCCCATGAGATCAACAATGTACTCCCTGAAGTTCACATTTGCATTCATTAAGGAAATTACTTTGCGACTGTAAACAGCAACTGCAGCAGAAATAATCACAATACAAGCACGAAACAAGCCTAATCCTGCTTTCAGTTCTCAGTGGTGTGTTGCATAGATCAAGAACGTTCATAGTATCTAGCCTCTGTATTAGTTTGACCTTTCCAGAGATCCGAGTTAGCTATAATACACACCCAAGTCCATATGCACCGACGCTATTTCTACGTATATAAATAAACACACACATTTTCCTCTACAAATGATAGAGAAATTGTTGAATATAGATACTGTACATAACAATTTTATTTTTATTTTGAAAGTCACCTGCCATCATCAGTCTTAATGGAGTTCATTGCCACATCATCTGAACCGGTATATTGCTGTCCTTTGACAACTCGACAAGGAATGCCGACACTATCACACAAAACCTACAAAGTCTCATAAGAAAGAAGAGACAAAACACCACACTGCATTTTAGAGGTGCAATAAGCTTTGTATGTAATATGCATAAAGTCATACAAACCAGGGACTTTAGCACAAAGATTCAACTGAACATAGCACCAAACTAGCAAGAAGCTTCCACCGTCATTAGATAATGAAACAAATGCCCCTCTTACGCTAACTTTCACATAATGCAAAAGTAAGAGAGAGCAGGGTACATACTTTGAACAACAAGGCACGATGACGAGCCAGCCCAATAGTTAGAGAACCCAAGGGCAAAACCATGCTACAGAGGGTTGCTTTTAAACTGTAGCTCAGACTCCACCAAGCTCTTAACGTGCTATCTGGATCCACGACTGGTCCACCCATGTAATCTCCTACTAAAATCGCCAGTTTCCTTACCAATTCATTGTTCACAAAGCCAGAAGAAGACACTGACTTTGATTTAGCTGCAATGTCAAGAGCCATCTGTTCAAGTCTCAACAGATTAGAATCTTCGCTTCTGTTCACTAGAACAGCTTCCCAAGATACACCATCTGACACAAGTGTACCCTGGAGATCAACTAAGGGAGGTATCTTTTCTAAGGAAGATTCGTTCATAACTCCACTCAGGTCATAGAAACCATCCACGATCTTGTCATCATAGCCAAGACAGTTATAATTCTGCAAACCCGTAAACATTCCAGATGATATAAAATTGGTTAGAGGAGTCGAAAGAGAGTTAATAGGGACGAAATGTTTCGGGGTGTATTCACGTATTATAACACAAATCACTGGAAATCTACAGTGAACAATCAACTAATCAATTCATGTTTCTAGCACGATCTATCACTTTCTAACAGAAAGTCAAGGATGGCAATGATAAGTTCAGAACTGTTTCCATTTCTAGTAGCGATGAGCCAAAAAACTTACCCAGTATCTATATGCCATGAGTTCCGCTGGAGAATTATCGGGAGCGGGAGGACAAGAACCTAAAGTGAACTGCTTTATAGCCTCAATTTGAGCAGCTTCAGGATCTTCCTTAGCACTTAGCTCTAGAGCCAACTGTATCTGATACTCTTCTTCAACCTCCGGATCCTTGGAATTACTAGAACCCAAATCTTGCATCACGGATTCTGAGCCAACGGGAGCACCTTGTTCCATGGTTGCTTCATCCCCTGT